ATTGTAGGTACAGTGGCATTAAGTGTCGTAATGTGCAACTCTGCCTACCTCTTCGGGGATAAAAAGGCGTGATGTTATGTTATGTTATTGACTACTACTATTTATTTATTTAAACTTTATTTTCAGGCAACTCTGGCCCAAAGACTAACATAAATATTTTAATATACAATTGATGTTAGAAATTAACTTAAGCCTATGTTAGTAGCACTTCACTGTGCACTAGGTCACCGTGCGCGCATGTGGCTATCTAGTAAGAAAAATACCTTATTCCACTTATTTGTTATCTGTCACAATTCTCTGAGTATGTAATAAAAGTGTTTTCTTCACTGATGTTGTCATTTTGTAATTCGCACTTGGCAAGGTCACAATTCGTTCAGGTTCGTTTCGTTGTCTGAAAATTGTTTTAGTTTTTTGGAGGATAGGATCACTTTGGTCGATGATATAACTGTTCATATCGTAGGTTAAATTGAGAAGGAATATACCCATTTCCTAAAATATGCGAGTTAAAAACTATCTGAGAAATTCTCTACTATCTTCTTCTAGCTTCAAGTCCCACCGGGACTTATATTCATGGCTTCTCATGAGAAGCATCTGAGACAGCTCAGACCTTATATTTTCAGTGGCCGGAATTCCAATAGATATGCCTGTTTTTTATAATTTATTGGTACTGTTCACTACGTTTAACAAGGAGCACCTACATAGGTAAATTACTAATAAGTAATTATTTACGATACTTCAGGCCATCGCTCTGGGATTCAGATCTCATTGTGTTATGTACAGAATGTCAATGGACGCCGATTAGATACGCATCGTTCGTATCTGCAATCTGCTTCTGAATCTTGTGTCAGAATTACGAAATCATAGCGCCGACATGGACGATTTCCCAGTCGATAATGTTATAAATAGTTTTGCCGAGATATCTATGTGTTCCTAGGTGAAACTTGAGTGTTTTTCCGTTTCCATGGATTAATCTTTCCGTCTGTCACGTCCTTATATCTGTGTTCTAGATGGACTAAGCTCTTAAATAATGAAACACCAGTTTAAATAATGTAAGGCTAAAATGAACCTTCAGTCACGGTCTAAATCATTACGAGTCGTCACCTCGATCATTACGAAAATCTTTAAAGAAACTAGGGTTTAGGTGGTCTAGAAATCTTCTAAAATTTGGGTACTACTTAATTTACTTATTTGTTTAAAACATCGCTAAATCATTTTAGTTAGTATTTTCATGTGAACTTGTGTCCTCCTAAACAGCCGTGAATAGTGTAATCTTGTCTTTTATGACATACATAACATAAAATAACGCCTTTTTTATCCCCGAAGGGATAGGCAGATGTGCACATTTCGGCACTATTTATGTTATAAGTCCCATGTAATAGGGGGTGAGTCTATTGTCACTGCAATGCC